CTCCACAATCACCCTCACCATCTGGGGCTGGTGCAATAGGCCAGAAGTGGCCTCAGTACACCCCACTAAGAATAAAATAATAGTACATGGTTAGAAGAGTGTTTTAACTTCGTTACCCGGATAAGACTAGTGAACAGTAAATTGTGTAAACCAGCGATAGCGCTGTATTGCTTGTGAGTATGATTTGATTGTGTAAGGTGTTAACAAATCCAATCTCCGTCTATAGTCACTATTACACGTGACAATTATATTAGTACTTCACCCCAACACCACATAAAAACAAGGAGTTGTCTTCCTCGCTTGGAGTTTCCTGTGTGCATTTGCTCCGTGTTCCAACTTCACTTGTGTAGTCTCGTCAAAACGTCAAAAGACGTTAACAGAAGGGGAAAAGCGGGGCCGACTGTGTCTTTAAGAAAGAAAACATTGATTAACGCTTACAGTAAAATTAAGAGCCCTTGAGTTATTCCGTGAGCTTTTAGAAATATGTGGAAACTCTCGTGAAGATCTGGTTTGGTCTTTGTCTGTAGGAAGCCTCGAAATGAGCGGCATCTATTATTGTGTCTAAGAATAACTACAAAATTCACAGCGCCCTTCTCATTTGTCTTCTCCCCCGCGCATTATCCGTGAGACGTCGCACATAAAGTTATATTTGAAGAGTGGATACAGAATTTTGACAGAAAAACTGGGTTCTATTTCCCGATCTGTTGAGGTGGGATGTTTCGGTAGAGGGGAGAGGAAACAGCAGCAGCAGCAGCAGCTATTTCTGGCCGCCGTTGGAATCTGCCTGTCTGCACGCACGCACGCACATACACACACGGCTAGAGACAGGGTAACAAAGCCTCGAATAATGATGAACAGTAGCCCTCCACTAAACTGCGCAAGTATAAAATTAATGCCAGACTCTTAACTTTGATTTAGACTGAAATGTTTCTCTATGTCGACATGCAATGTTCCTTTCTTACTTAGAAAGTGAGAACAGTAAACAGTAATAACTCATACCGCGTGGGTCAGTGGTATATTCCACGTTTTGTGTAATTGTTTGCACAAGCTTGACTTCTCAGTAATATATCTGAAAACTCCACGAAAAATACAAAGTTTCTTTTTCCCCCGTTTCTGTAGTGAATGCCGTGACAAAAGACAACAGATTTGACATTATGCGTAAACAACGGACCATGAAGGTGTACAGGTGACATGGAGGAAAAGCTCAAACAATAAAAACAAGATCTGCAGTAATAAACGATGAAACTTGGGTTTGTTGGCTAGGTTTGTAGCATAAATTTCTACCTCCTTTTCTATCCTAGTTCCGCACATGTGCATGCTCTATCACAATTTGTATTGCATATTTTCTTGTTATGTCCCGTTGAATTAGCCTGGTCTTAGGAGATTAAATAGCTTTAGGGGTTGTTCAGTGATTGAGGTTAGTACTTTCTAAAGGACCCAAATGGGTAGATGTCTTCCTCCACCCCCTCATACATGTGCGACGACAGAAACAGATCCAGTTTCCGAAAAGTGTTTTCTAGTTTCTAGAATACCGGGCGTTGCACGAAGTCCGAAAACCCACTAATTCTGATTCTCCTTGCGTAATTATCCTGTAATGTTTACATTCACGCTGTGAGCGCCCTGAGAACCCTAACTGTGCCGGATATGAACCCCCACTAGTCCAAACGACCGTAGCCAATCAGTGTATTAAACTGACCCATCGAAACACGTGCTGGGTAAGGCTGCAGAAAGAAAACCTTGGCCAGTGAGTCTACGCCCTTTCTCTCCTTGGCCCTCTAAAAGACCTCTTCTTCTTGGGCACTTGCAGAATCCACCGCGAAGAGCAACCAACTGGACCTAGGATTAAGAACAGTTTATTTGGTGGTAACGCTCTTGAGTTTTATCTGGGAGGAAACAATTTCGATCACTGATTATCCTGACCTCGGTATTTCATGGTGTTCTACACTGTGTTCAGTCGAATAATAGAATAGTAGGTTGACATAGGTCAGGTACACGTTCCTCCAATTGAATGCTATCCACCTCTCGTAATAATATTTAATTTAATTTAATTTGAGGCTGTATAAACTCTGCAGTTGATGTAGCGTCGTTTAATCCAAAAATCAAATAATACCCATTCAATTTCGACATAGAGAGAGAATTATGTATCTATTGTATCTATCTGACTAGTTTCGTGGCGTACATGCCTTCCTGAAGAGTCAATAATAGCTTAGATCCTGAAGAACTTCCTCATCTCTTACAGCAGAACAGGGTTGTTTACTGTTTCATCCCTATCCTCAGCCACATTAGTCCATTCCACAATCTTACATATTGTTTATTTGAGAACCTCTTTAATATTATCGTCTTATCTGCACGTAGATATCCCACGAGTTCTCCTCTGTTTAATTTTCCAACCGAAAATTATGCATGCCTTTTACATCTCCACCATACGCAATAGGACCCGCGGCCAACTCAGCGTCCCTGATTTGTTCATCCTAATTATGTTTGATGGATTACAAATTATGAGGTACCTAATTATCTTTTTCACCACCCTCCTGTTACGTCATCTCACATTTTCCTGAGAACCCTGATTTATAAGCTCCTCAATCTACGTTTTTCGCTTAATGTAACAGACCCGGTTTCATACACATACAAAATATCAGGTAAAATTATGCTTTGGTATATTTTAATCTTGGTATGTACTCTCTTCACTCGCTTGGAAACCGGGATCGTGGGTTCGAATCCCATTCAGGGCATGGATGTTTAGTTTGTGTGTGTGTTTCTGTGTTTGTGTACAGGTAGAGGCCTTGAGACGAGCTGATCACCCGCCCAAGGAGTCCTACCGAATGTGTAAGATCTAGAAAAACCGAAGTGAACGGAGAAGTTCATGGAGGTAGGCCTAGGCCCACTGGGGCTCTAGTGCCAAGGAAAAAAAAATTAATCTTGAGATTTTTGAAGTGGGGACAGGACGAAAATTTTAAACTGACTGGTAGTAACATTCCTGAAAGTAACCTGCTCTTAAAATCACCTTGCCTGAACAAGTGTGGTCCAAGTACAATCTTGAAATATATTTCCGCTCATTTATTGGCTAGCAAGTATGCGTCAAGCCAAGAAGCACTGAGACCGTTTAAAGTACATATTTAACAAAATTAAAGGTTAAGAATCACTTCTCTTTTAAAAGGCGTCGATTGTAGATTCTGTGTTCGTGGAGTCTGGCCACAAAAAGTCGTGACCCGCGCCTGCGCATTTTATATCGGCTCGTCCGTTGGGTCAGTATAGCGGCGCTCTTGTACGTATGCCTCAGGAGTGGGGGCGAAAGGACTTCACGCAGAAGTGCGTGGATGGATTGCATAGAAATAGAGTAAAAACTGTATTTATAGGAAAACAAAATAGACATAAATCATTTGTAGTCTCATGATGCTGAGGAATATAAATAGGCCTTGACTCACTGCTTTACATTTGAATTGCGACGTGTGTTTTATCAGGGCTTTCTGTACAACATGTAGAGCAAACATTAAAAAAGCAGATTATACGTTCTACAAAGTTTATAAAGTTTTCCTTCGAAGTTGTTCTAACAGGAAACAGACAAAGGGAATCTTATTCTTTCTTACTGCATTCATAACAATTTTTTAAATCTATTAATATTTTGCGATATATATTCTTATCACTAAAACGGATTTCAATAGACGTTCATCCATGCAGAACAGACAGAACATCTTCGACAAAGGAACGTCTAGTCTTTTGAAGGAAATTGAAGACTGCTGAGGATAACTTATGAATCTCAGAGGAATGAAGTGTAGAAAGATGTTAAAAGAACCACGTGATGAGGACTGAACCGATAGGTTTAGATAGTACAATAATACATAATTGGGTCTGATTTTGTGGGCGAGATTTATGTATCAAAATGTGGTCGAATTCAACGCTCCTGCGAACATAGCAGTGAATGTTTGGATTCAGTAAAAGGAAGCTAATTTCTTGACCAGCTGGTCAACTATCACCTTCTCAAATAGGACTGTCTATTATGTGGTTTGTAAAGTTAAAAATAAATTTTCGATTTATTGTTTTATTTCTTGATGGATAGATTGATATTACATTTTAAGGTTATTTTATGACTATGAGTTACGTACTTATATTACCGGTTGATTTTGGCGCTAGTCCTGATGAAGGAATGTCGGAAAGAAAGAAAGAAAAAGAAAGAATAGGCCTACATTTTCCAAATGAACTTCTTCCATTATAATCCAACATGAACCCTACGTGCTTTCACCCCAGTCGTAGGACTAACTTAATGGCGGTACTTAAGCGATTAGCTGTAGTAATGCCTTAGCATGAAACTGTGAGGAACAAGGCTGTTTTGGGCCGAGTTATACCGGTAAAATCATAACATCTTTTATGGAGGATGACTTAGATTAAGCTCAGTTTAATTGCATTACTGAGGTTACCGTCATGAATAAGCAGTAAGTTGGGTAATAAACTCATTACCCACCAACAAGCAAACATAATGAAAAATATTTATCTTGATACGGTTTTGCACATGCATTCGCAAGAGCATAAATTCACATTGTTTGTATCGCAGTTGTGTGTGTTCCTTTGTCGTATTAGAAACACTGGCTCTAAAACCCTTCGGGCCCTGCCCTTTGATTTTCAGTTTCATGATCATTTTACAGACGGTAGGACTCCTTGGACGAGTGATCAGCTCGTCGCAATGCCTGTACCTAAACACAGGACAACACAAACACAGAATAAACAAATACACATACCAACCATCCATCCCTTATGTAAGATTCGAACCCATGATCCCGGCTTCCGAGCGAGCGAAAACAATACGTGCCTTAGACCTCTCGGCTACCGTGACTGGCAGTGTATAAGAATAATATATAAGAATTCAGTTCGTACCTCACAGGAAACAGATCCGAACCCACGATCCCGGTTTCCGAGCGAGCGAAGACAGTACGTGCTTTAGACCGCTCGGCTACCGTGACTAGCCCTTTGTCGTATTACTAACTGAATTTTTACTTTGTTTTCAGGGGAAAGCTCCGGCTCTGGATCAGAAGAGGAAGGCGAGGGTAGTGGTGGTGGGGACAGTGAGTCTGCCCGAAGACCGTCCAGAGACGAACATATGTGCGGCCATTGTCAGGCCGAATTCTTAGATTTATCGGAGTTTATAGAACATAGAAAGGACTGTGACCGCAAGGCTCTTGTGCTGGGGCTCACCGAAGAGCCTCCATCGTCAGATCCAGAGGATATGATGGCGACTGGAGACGAGGATGAAGAGGATGGTGCAAGTAGAGAAGGCGGTAAACGCCTGGAGGAAGAGAGGCGGCAGAGGCAAGACGCGGAGAACAATAACAGTGGCGAAGGTGAAACTGAGGGCGAGAACGACATGCAAGAAAGTGACATGCCTCTAGGTTTCCCTTTCCCACTGCCACCAGTCCCCGCTGCCGGTCATGTGACGTTAGAGGCCCTCCAAAACACGAAGGTCGCAGTGGCCCAGTTTGCAGCCACGGCTATGGCCAACAACGCAGATAACACGGCGGCTCTTCAAGAGCTGGCGGTCCTGCAGAGCACGTTGTTCACACTGCAACACCAACAGGTCATGCAGATGTCACTCATACAGCAGCTACAGCACCAACTGCAGATCACGCGCTCTAAAGAGGGCAGTCCAGTGTCGCCTCCACCGCAGCTTCCTCCTGTACTACCTGTCCCTGCACAGCAGTCACCCCCTAAATCCTCTAGACCTTCAACCCCTGTGAAGCAAGATCCACCACCGCAACCACCGACGACTCAGTCGGTACCTGCATCACACCCTCAGCAGCAACAGAAACAGTCAGCATCACAACAGCAGCAACAACCTCAACTTCAGTCTCAACAACCGTCAGTGCAGCAACTGCCTTCTCACCTGCCCTCCACTACCCCGAAACCCCTAACTACGCCTAGACCTCCCACCACTTCTCCGCCAGTGCACGCATCCCCGCTGCCGTTGTGCTCCATCTCCTCGTCGCTCGCAGCGTCCATCATTACGAACCCTGATCCTCCCCCTCTGAACGAACCCAATACCCTGGAGATGCTTCAGAGACGGGCCCAGGAGGTGCTGGAGAATGCGAGTCAGGGTTTGCTGGCCAACAATCTCGCGGACGAGCTGGCGTTCAGGAAGAGCGGATGCAAATCCAACTCCTTGTCGCCCTATGACTCCAAGTCTGGAGGCCGGAATGAGCCGTTCTTTAAACATCGGTGCCGCTACTGCGGGAAGGTATTCGGCAGCGATTCGGCACTGCAGATACATATCAGGTCGCATACAGGTGAGCGCCCCTTTAAGTGCAATGTGTGTGGGAGTCGGTTCACTACTAAAGGAAACCTCAAGGTTCACTTCCAGAGGCACACAGCCAAGTTTCCGCACATAAAAATGAATCCCAACCCCGTGCCGGAGCATCTAGACAAATATCACCCACCTCTCTTAGCCCAAATGGGGTCACACCAAAGCATATCTCCGGGCATACCACCACATCCTCATCATCCTCCTCCTCCTCATCCCTTTCATGCTAGTACAAGTTTCCCGTCGACTGCTCTTCCTCTGTACAGGCCCCCACCACCTCATGATCTCATACCACACCATCTTCACCCGCCACCTCATCGGCAGCCACATGAACCTCCTCCTCCACCCCAACCACATTCGAAACCTCTTCTGCCGCATCCCGCATTATTTGGGCAGCGCATGGAACAGGACGTGCCCGAGAACCTCAGCAAACCTCCTAGCCTACCCTCATCACATTCCTCACCACCGCCCGACCAGTACAAGAAAGAACCCCTGGGTGATGAGGCAGAGGAACCTTCTGAACGGGAGCGACTTAACTCGGAGGATGGTGGCGCGGATCGGCTTAGTCCGAAGCAGGAACCAGTAACGGACCACGAACATGAACTGGAAGCGGATATGGAGATGGAACATTACTCTTCCCCTCCCCCCTACGACGATTGCAGTCTGGACAGCAAGTACAGCAACGAAGACATGCTAATGGGCGATGCCGATAGTCCCATTATCGATAAGAATGAGGAGAGTCTCCAGGAGCAGCCAGAGAATTTGTCGAGTAAAAGTGCAACCGGTAGTGGACAGCTGAGTATGTCAGTAGGTCAACGTCTCCCGCCTTCCATTCCCTTTCCACACGCGGTATCTCCACCTAGCAGCACATCCTCAGGCAGCATAAACACCCTCCACACTCCGATCGGACCCATTCCCCTCCCCAATGACTTAGATCCTGCGAAGGACCCGGCCATTTACACGAATCTACTTCCTCGACCGGGCAGTAACGACAACTCCTGGGAGAGTTTGATCGAAGTAACTAAAACGTCAGAGACATCAAAGTTGCAGCAACTAGTGGACAACATTGAACATAAGCTGACAGACCCAAACCAGTGCGTCATCTGCCACCGAGTGTTGTCTTGTAAGAGTGCTCTACAGATGCACTACCGCACCCACACTGGCGAGAGGCCCTTCAAGTGCAAGATCTGTGGACGTGCCTTTACCACCAAAGGCAACCTCAAAACGCACATGGGAGTTCACCGTGCAAAGCCGCCCATGCGCGTATTGCATCAATGCCCTGTGTGCCATAAGAAATTTACTAATGCGTTAGTGTTACAGCAACACATTCGCCTGCACACAGGCGAACCGACGGACCTCACGCCAGAGCAAATCCAGGCGGCTGAGATCAAGGAGTACCCTCCTCCGGCTGCATTTCCGCTGCCCAACTCCATGAGCCCATTCCTAGCGCAGGGATTTCCGCTTCCTGGAATGTCGCCTCTCCCTCCACCGGGACTCCACCTGGGCCTGAAGCCGGACTTCGAGGAGAAGCGTGATAGGGACCGAGACAAGGACAGGGAATGCGAACGAGAAGAGAAAGAGGATTTCAGCAACAAGGCCGATTTTCTTGATGACGACAATACGAACAGCAGTGGTCTCCAACAGCTTCCCTCCTTCTCGACGTCTCTTGCTGCTCTGGAGAACCAGGTTCGAACCATCACTACAATGGCGTCTCAGTTGTCCGCCTCGGGACTCAGTAGGTCCGCCGAAGAACTCTGCAATAACAACTCTACCGCGACAACGAACAAGACCTCCACTCCGACGCCGATGAATGGAGAAAAGTCGCCAGGACCTGGTGTGAGTCCCACTGAATCTGAGATCCGCGCCTCGCCGTCACCTCCACAGCCCCCGACCCCAATTCAGATCCCGAGGCCTCCTTCATCGCAACAGCCCGAGAGTCCTGCAGCTTCCGAGTCGAATTCACTAGGAGCCCTCGACCTGACGCCTCGAGCATCCGGCCCGGGTCAAATAACGCCGGCCGGCCTCAGTCCCGGCGTCTTCTCCGGTTTCGGCCTTCTTCCCCCTAGCTCCATTTCCACGGGGTCTTCGCCACTCATGACCTCGGCCCTCTCGTCGCTGACTTCATCGGTCCTAACGTCTACAGCCTTCAGCCCCATCGGATTAGCGGTCGGACCCGCAGGTAGGCAGTGTTTTCCACCCGCTAAAGCAGATCATGCTGTAGATTAGTTGCAATTCATTATGAAAGTGTAGTTGGACAGTGTTCTCCTACTTATATGCGTTTAAATTATACTACGTTTCGGAGGCTGGTTCTGCTTCCATCATCATGTGTAACAAAGGAAATGGCCCTACTCATATGGGTACACTGAGCTAGTCTCGATCATTGGTATATCTTGCCCACATGAATCGGTTCTTTTCAAATTTTACAAGAGAATAACTCTGTATGACCAGATCAACTAAGTAGGGTCCTTCCCCCTTTAATACCAGATGCACGGGAAGCAAAGCCAACTTCTGGAAGCGCCGTATAATTTAAAGATACATAAGATGGTGGACAATGACCAGCATAATAATTCTTTAATAAAAAAATCAGACCATTGGCACAAATATTTAGAGGGTCATTAATTTCATTTCACACAACGTATAATAATCACTGAGTTTGCATCCCTGCTCAAGCTGAACAGAGAACATTTCTGATAATGTCGCTCCACTTCCAGGCTGTTTGTTCTTTCGGAAGTACCAGAGAGTTCATGAAAGCAGTCTTCTGGGATGTGGATGGTGTTAACCGACGTTTCGGAGGTACATATCGCCTCAATCTTCAGGATATAAAACAAGAAATATTTGCGATATGTTCATCCGAAACGTCGGTTAACACTACATCTACACGGCGCCACATCCCAGAATACTGCTTTCATCATTGTCACCGCCGTGAAAACCTCAAATCTTACGTACCAGAGAGTTGTTATTAACTCAAAAAGTAATTGGTTTGCATTTGAATTATCAAGTATCGTTTAACTGATTACTCAGCGCTTCCCAGCCCGTAAGCATTCACGGGTTACAATATTACTGTGGCCATATTCGGTTAGAAGTAACGTATTAATTTGGAAGCTGCAAACAGTTCAGGAAATTTCAGTCATCTTGCGCATAAAAGTCTTTTTCTTTCAGAAAAGAAGTTTGTTACAGAATTCAGAATATTATTAAGAGGTTGTCGTATATTGTTACTGTTTACAATGTTTATGAAGATCAATAAGGCCGTGCCATATCTCAAGCTGTTACTCATCGGCTTCCCACGATGGAGTCCCGGGTTCTTTCCCAGGTCAGGTCATATAGGATTTGTGTTTGACAAAATGGCACTTTTCTCCGAGTACTTTGGTTTCTCCCGCAAGTTCTCATTGCAACAAATGTTCCACGCTTATCTATCAGTCGATGGGGGTACAATTGGCCACTCAGTGGCCGACGAACAAAGTGACAATCCAAGTCTCACCCCACACGATGAAACTGAATAGAAAAAAATAAGTTCAGTAAACATGAACACTAAAGTAACGGTAATTACATACGCATCTTCTATAAATGAGTGATGTAACACACAAGCAATTCCATTACTTCAGTTCACTCACCCCCACCCCCCCCTGGCACTACAGCCCCCCCAGTGGGCCTAGGCCTACCTCCATGAACTTCTCCGTTCACTTCGGTTTTTCTAGATCTTAGACATTCGGTAGGACTCCTTGGGCAGGTGTTAGTTCACTTCGCTTTGAGAAATACCAACGCGAAGAACAGTTGTTTTGCTAAAGCCAAGAGCAATTTGTGGATATATGTCTCTGGATTTTACTCCGGATTCCAATTGATCTCAAGTTTGGTTTCTATGGAAACAGTGTCCGTTCAGCTGAAGTACAGCCTCTCTTGCCGTCATTCTTAAGATATTGTCACAATATGACTATCGTACATTCTTCGGCAGCGTGTGTTGTTTCCTATATATGGTGTAGTGTATGTATAAATAAGGCAAGCCTCGAATTCTTTGTTAGAAGTAAAGCAAAGAAAACGTAAACTGAATCTATTGCACGCAAACTTTCACATAGACACGAACAGTATGGAGACTGGGGCACGCGGTAGCGTACTTGGTTGAGACACTATGCTAAAATCTGGAAGGTCGCGGGTTCAAGTCCCGATGAGGTCATTGAACTTATTTTTCAATTTACATGATCCTTCAAGCCGCAATATGGCCCTGGGGTCGACTCAGTCTCTAACAGAAATGAGTACAAGAAATTAATTAAATAATTTTCTCGGAGAGTAAAGCGCGACCGATGCGTAAGGCTGACAACCTTACCGCCATTTTGAGCAGATTGTCTAGAAAATATGGGACATCAGCGTCTCACAACCCTATGGGCCTTCACGGCCTGTTACAGGAATAGCTTTACTTTTACTTTACAGTATGAAGACCTCTGTTAATTTCTACAACTGCTCGGCCCTTGCACCGCGACCTGCAGTGGTCTGTTGTGCCTTTATCGCAAACATACTTGTGATATGATATGTTGCTGCCGATTTAAATTATATCTGTGTTTCTCTCAAAATAATTGAGAACTTTTCCACGAAGTCTTAATTCTTTAATGAGTCGCATGATGTGATGGACAAAAGGGTCAACTCATGAGCGTGCATGCCTCAGTCAGTAAAAATTCTAGCTATGGTTTGGACGGCCTCATTTCTATTTCTGGACGAAACATGGAATCAAAACTGCGCGTAGAATGTACCAGAACGAGTAGAAGTAATAAGAGTAAAAGAATTGATTTGAAAACACTGACGGAAAGAGACTGCTTGGGAGATCTAGGTATATGTGTAAGGATAATATTTAAAAGGATCTCACTTTATAAAATATGATGGCATCGACTTAATTCGGCTGAATAAAATAGGTCCATTGTCGGGTTCTTGTGAACACGGCCATTAACTATGGGGCGGGAATTTCGTGATCATCTGAGCTACTGTCAGTTTCTCAAGAAAGACTTTGCTCCATAAACTTAATTATTCAGTGTCTTAAAACGATTAATTTATATAACACAATATTCTTATCAAATGTCTCAACAATTCCCCATCGTATAAAAATTAGACATGCCATAAAACATACATTTAATTAAAATCTATTGATTTTATTTGAAACAACTTCCGATGTGATGTACGTGTATATTTAACGAATGTTGATAGACATTATTAGCCTGTGTGTTTAAAAGAATTTAATACATGTGCTACTAATCAGTTCCATGTTAGGTGGGTCCCTTGTCACCACGGCATGTCGCGTCCTCAGGTTGCGGATAGAGGAGAAGGCCTCCAGATATGGAGGGTAGCTGCGAATATGTTGAATAAACAGGCACGGACAGCCAACGAGACGTGGTATTCCAGCTTGGGGGTTGGGCGTGAGGCTAAAACTCGTCGTAAAAATAAGAAACCTTTGACCTGGATGGATTCTTCTGTTAAAGGACCTGAGCTAAGGAAAATGGGGTGAGATTTGGAGGAGATTAGTTGGGACAGAGGTGGCACCGAACTAGCAAGCGAATATACATTTTCTATGGAAATGGGAATTGCAATTATAAATTAGGTACAGGCTTTTTGTACATAATGGATTTATATATGCAGTTAAGGTGTCAGAGTTCGCTAGTGATAGGATGTCGTACGTAATACTAAGGGGTAGCTGGTGTGATACCATCGTTCTGAAGGTTCATGTCCCTGTAGAGAATAAAACTGATGATATGAAAGACAGCTTCTACGAGGAACTAGAACGTGTATTCCATAAACTCCTTAAATAACATATGAAAAATTTGTTAGGAGATTTCAATGCCGAAGCAGATAGGGGAAGACTTTTTCAAACCCGTCATTGGAATTAAGAGTTTAAAATAAATTAGTAATGATAATGGAGTTAGAGTAGTAAACTTTGCCACATCAAAAAATCTATCAAAAGTTTTCCCACATCGTAACATTCCTAAATTTACTTGGACGCTTCTTAGAGGAAGGATTCACAATGTGCCATTAGGAAGATAGACGAAAACCGGATGGGACTGAAACTAAATGGAACACATAAAGTGCTGGTCTATGCTGATTATGTGAATCTACTGGAAGATAGCATAACTAACTAACCCCATGGAGCTGATCCCTCTTGAGACGCCCCCACTTGTGCAGCTACTCAAGAAATTTCGAGCATTTTATGGAACCTGAAGGTTCATTACCGTATTCACAAGAGTCCCCTACTGGTTCCTATCATGAGTCAGACCAATCCAGTCCATACCTTCACATTCCATCTCCCAAAGATTCATTTTAATATTATCCACTCACCTGCGTCTAGGTCACCCTAGTGGTATCTTCTGGCTTTCCCCCCAATATTTTATATGCATTCCTCTTCACCGCCATTCGTGGTACATGCCCTGCCAATCCCATCCTCCTTGACTTCATCATGCTAATTTTAATTAGAAATTAGTCTAAGTTATGAAGCTCCTCATTATGCAGTTTTCTCTAACCTCCTGTCACTTCATCTCTCTTCAGTTCAAATATTCCAGAATGTGACAAGAATAATATTAACATAATAAGAGCATAACCCGAAGATTCAAAATCGCTGAAACATGGACACACCACTGGGCTTCTTCCTGAGCTAGTTCTGTCTTCCTGTCGTCCTCAAAACTCAACTTCGAAAGTCCCATCTCAGTGATGAGTCCTGATCTTTTTCTCGGTCTTCCAAGCGACGTCCTCCCAGAGGCTTCGGCACCGACCTTCTGTGTTGCAGTTCCTATTTCCCCATGTAACTCACATATCTGAGGCACCTAGACCTCTACATAACGCTAATAGAAATCCCAATTCACCTGCATAAAATACCAAGTCACACATTACACCTTGTTAAATCCAAATAAGCTTAATTTCTTAAATATTTTATTTCTACAGACCTGTAATTTATACTGAACGCCCAAGGTAAGAGACAGCACTTCACAACCGCCAGAAATTCTTCTTTTGTATATCAGTATAGTCTAGGGGTAACGTTCCCACCTCATGACTCAAGGTACGCGGGTAGAAACCCGGCGGCGGTGGTGGAATTTTTAAGGGCGGAAAAATTCAGGGAACAAGTCCTCCGGGAGGGACTTTAAGCCGTGGGTCCCGTGTCGTAGCTTTGCGGCACGTAAAAGAACCTCATGTCTCAAGGAGACCACTGAGCCA